ATCATCTCCTTGCAACCTTTATGGGCAGGGACACCTTCCACCAGCCCAGGTTGCTCCAAGCCCTGTCCAACCTGGCCTTGGACACTTTCAGGGATCCAGGGGCAGCCACAGTTTCTCTGGACAACCTGTGCCAGGGCCTCCCCACCCTCACAGCCAAGAATTCCTTCCCAGTATCCCATCTAACCCTGCCCTCTGGCAGTGGGAAGCCATTCCCCCTTGTCCTGGCACTCCAGGCCCTTGCAGATAGGATTTCCACGTTTCTTGCAGACTCCCTTCAGGCCCTGGAAGGCCACAATTCAGTCACCCCAGAGCTTCTCCTCTCCAGGCTGAACAATCCCAACTCTCCCAGCCTTTCCTCCCAGCAGAGCTGCTCCATCCTCTGCTCATCTTGGTGCCTCCTCTGGACTCTCTCCAGCAGCTCCATATCCTTGCTGTGCTGTTCCCAGGGCTGGAGCAGCTCTGCAGGGGGGTCTCATCACTGAGCAGGGCACAGGGTCTAATTCAACCTGTTGCATCCCTGACTGAAGTTGTGGGAAAACAACTGATTAATAATGCAGCTTCCCCAAAGGCACGAGCCCCAGGAGAGCTGCCCTCACAGCCTGTGGCTCCTGGGCTGCAGCCCCAGAGGATGCCCACATACCCCAAAACCTCAGCTCCTCAGTTTGAACACAGCTCTGCTGATTGCAGAGACACCAGACAGAAACCAGAGAGCAAAACAAGATTAGAGCTCAGCGAGATGGTGAATCCAAATAAACAAGACATTTTGAACTATTTCCAGCATGACTTCAGCACAAAATAACATTTGCACGTCAATGTAATAGTTGATGTTTTAACTGCACACTAAGGGAACAGTCACGTACAGCATCAGCTGCTCAGCCCTCAAAGGGAGCAAAAAGAGCTGCAAAAGAGCTGTTCTGTAGTTCAAAGCCTTTCAAATAAAGACTAAATTCATTTACATTCAATCCCCAAGCACTTGAACCCAAGTAGAGCACGGCCTGTCCCATCCCCAGACATCCTGGGGAGGTGACAGTGACACTTGAAAAGAGTCGGGACAGCACGAACCAGCTGAAGACTCCGGGAGTAAAAATGAAGCCAAGGCCAAAAGGAGCACAAGCCAAGAGGATGCAAAGCAAGAGGGAAAACCCATTTTGTCTTTGAAGCCCTTTGAGGACCGGTGAGCACACCCTGACGGGAAATCCTATTACTGGGGCCCCTAAGCCATGAATCAACCTCAGAGTCAGCCTGGGCAGCCTCGGGACAAAGGAACAATCATCTGCTAATTCAGGCGACAAAGCTGGAAAAGGAAGGTTCCTTCTGCAGGTTAAGGATTAATCATCAGCAGGTACAGCCTATTTGCTTTAAGTGCAGCCACTTCCTGCCAGCACATCCCTGCCTTTTCCAAGAAACAGGGGAGCAGCTCCCTGTCTGAAGGCAAATGAATCAGGAGACAAGATTGAAACGATGAACAGCACCCAGAACCAGCCAAGCTACTTAATAAGCAGCTAGGAAATGTACCAAAATCCAACACAATCAAGCCAACAAACTGAACACAGGGAACACATGATCGTTGCTCCAAAATTCCATTAGACTTTTAGGTTTGTGTAAGTGCCATGTCCAGTCCTTCCTTGGACACCTCCAGGGATGGGGACTCCACCACCTCCCTGGGCAGCCCCTGCCAAGGCCTGACCACCTTTTCCAGGAAGAAATTCTTCCTGATGTCCAACCTGAAGGCTGGTAGAGAAGTCCAACAGGAGCTGAGGAGGATGCCCATGGTTTCTCAGAGTGTGAGGATAAAGCCAGCAGCAGGTTGGCCAGGTGGTGCTGGAAAAGGTCTTCCCAGTTGTGTGCAGAGGGGGAATAAGGCAGTGCTTCCACTAGGATACTTCAACCTGTCCCCTTGAGGGGTCTCCTCAGTCAGCAGCAGCTTCAAGCTCAGGTCTGAAGCTAAGCAAAGGTATCACTCAAAAAGTCAATGTCACAACGAACTCGTGGCCTACAGGACACAGAAACACTCTGCAGTCACATTCAGTTATGTACATGATTCATGTATTCCCCCAAAGGTGTTTATCCATGCACAAGACAACACCCAGAAACCAGTCACCACTTTTAACAAGATTATTTGACATTTCCCAGGGTGCTGGTTTTTTGGTGGTGGTGAGTATTGGGGTTGTTTTTGGTGGTGATTTTTTTGTTCCTTTTCTTTTTAAACATCTGCTCTAGCCAACTGCTGCCCATTTAATTGGGAAATCTGACTACTGAGTAAGTCTGCACTGGAATTTACTTTTAACCATTCCAAGCCCTCGCTGCATTCACACACATTTCTATTTCTGCACAAGCAACTTAAGCACCAATACTTTCAAAAGACAGCACAAACACCGAGGCCCTGTTCCCAAGGAGCTAAATTTGGGAGGTATAAGCACACCTGACCTTAACAAGCTTAAACAAAAATCACTGAGACACAGGAACTGAGTTCCAGGCACAAACCACTGCTCTGCACTGCTCTGTTACCCTGTGATTACACAGCAATCAGTGCCTGCTTTGCTCTCTGAGCCCTGGGTTTCTCCTTCAGAGCCACTGAAATTCAGGTTTTAAGAGAGAATTCAGCAGGCAGTTCTAGCAAGCACATTTTGTGCCAGGAGAAGGATGAGTATATTTATATAACAAAAGGCTTCCTGGATTATTTTAAGGTTCGAGTTTTGCAAAGCGAACAATTGAGGAAAGGGATGTTTTTCCTTTGTTTAAAAAAATAATACTCGTACCAAGAAGAAAGACAGAAAGAAAGGAGGAAAAAAAAAAAGCCATTGAAAAGACAGCAGTGTCTTGATATTCTACTATTTGAGATCCCTGTATCTCAGCAAAGAGTTATCCATGTGCTTTGTGACCCCGAGTCCAGAACATATGTTGCTGTATACTGAGATAAATACACAAAAACCAGAGGTCCCAGATACCAAGGCACCAGCAAGTGAATATCTGCACATAAATGACAACCCGTGCCACAGAATTACAGAATCACTAAGGCTGGAAGAGACCTCTGAGATCCTGGAGTCCCCCCTGTGCCCGATGCCCACCTTGTCCCCCAGCCCAGAGCACTCAGTGCCACGGCCAGGCCTTCCTGGGACACCTCCAGGGATGGGCACTCCAAACCTCCCTGGGCAGCCCCTGCCAAGGCCTCACCACCCTTTCCAGCAACAAATTCCTCCTCCTGGCCAACCTGAGCCTCCCCTGGCACAGCTGGAGGCCGTTCCCTCTCCTCCTGTCCCTTGTTCCCTGGGAACAGAGCCCGACCTCCCCCCCGGCTCCCCCCTCCTGTCAGGGACTTGCAGAGCCAGAAGGTCCCCCCCTGAGCCTCCTTTTCTCCAGGCTGAGCCCCCCCCAGCTCCCTCAGCTGCTCCTGCTGCTCCAGCCCCTTCCCCAGCTCCGTTCCCTTCCCTGCACACGCTCCAGCCCCTCCGGGTCTCTCCAAGGAGGACAATCCCTGCCCTGGTCAGAGGGAACAATCCAACAACACAGACCCCACAACATTCGCTTGGAATCTTTTCCAAAGCAGCCTCTTGCACTGCACCTGTTGATGTTCAACCCCAATTAAACCTGCATTAAACTTTAAGTAACAGATCACTCCATTATTCACGATGTCTGTGTACTGAGTGCAGAACAAACAGGAGCTGAACCAAGGCAGTGACAGGAGCTTCTGGTGTCTGCTAAAAGCATCTTCTGCTCTTAATGTTGATGTAGCTGAAGGAGGGTGGGGAAAACACGAATTTTGCATGACTGTTTAAAACAAGCCTAAATATTACAGTTCCTCTTGAACCACTATGACATAGGTGCAGCTTTCAGGAAGCAACAGCTCCAAAAACCTGCTCAGACCAACTCACCTGACCTGCAACATGCAAAAAACCCCAGTTCCCTCAATTTTAGCGGCGCTGATGTTCAGCCACAGCATTTTTCTCATTATTTTTGGTGGTATTTCCGTGGAAAAGCCACTCAACAGCTTGATTAATCAACCTGTGAGATCCAGATACGTGGAGCCCTGGGACAGCCACAGAAGAGGGGCTAAAACTTTTCCAAAAAAACAAATTTGCTCAGGGTACCACAGGAAAAAAAAAAAAAATCACAACTGCATCAGGAAGAATCACAACTGAAAGCTGCTTTTCTGCTCTGTCTCTCACCACAGCCTCTCAGAATCAGCCAGTTCAGGTTTGCTAATATTCCAAAACACTCAGGGGAAAAGGCAACAGCTTTCCCAGCTAGGAATAGGAGGCACAAGGGACTTTGTTCACTCAGTGTGCTGGTCACTGGGGCTGCACACAAACAAATAACAGCTTTTAAAACACATTCCTTCTCAAAATTTCTATGCCCAGTAGCTCCACTTTTATTTTCTGATTTTTACTACAGCTCTTCAATCGGTCACAAGGCTTTCCCAGCAAGGATCAAACCCAACAAAACCACGACAAATCTCTTATGAGATGCCTTTCAGAAAATCCTCACACAGCTTCAAAGGATTATTAAAAGAGAAAAACATAACTACATCCAGCAAGAAAGGGCATACACCCCATTTATTTTATCTTTGCAGGTCATTCAGCTACGTCAAAGCCAGACCTGGGAATGGAAAACAGGTATTCCAGCCACCAGTCTGGTTCTCTATCCAGTATATCACTCCAGTTTCAACAGCCAGAAGGGCAAAGATTTCCTTATAAGTAGGGTTTGGGGAGCATTAATCCACAACTGACATCTTCTCAAGTTTTGCTCTTAGTTATCTTTACCTGGAAGCCAGGAAAAGGAACCAATCTAAGTGATCTTTCCATTGCCTTTCCCTAAGATTTTACAATTTAATACTGGAGCACAACAGTCCGTGCAATATCTGGAAAGGATATTGGAAAATGGATATCTGCCCACCCAAATCCAAACCAAGAACTTGCCCAAACTCAGGTCACAATAAACAAAGTACTGAACAAACACACCAAAAACACACGTGCTTGAAAATGCAAAGCTCATTTACTCACCTGAAATTGCCTTTCTACCCAGAGCACTCGATGCATCAGGTCAGCAGCTCGTTATGAACATGACAGTCGAAGCTCAGAAGACCTGCTGCTGGCTGCTTCTCCCAGAGGCACGAGAGTCACTGTTAAAAAACCCCAAACAAATAAAAATAAGGACATGTTTAGGAAGCAGAGCTGGTAGCAAGCCTTCATTAAAGCATCAGCAGTTGTTATAGTGTGAAGATGACTTCGAAGTCCACTGATAGCTGGGATATACAGGAAAGACCATGGATGGTTTGGGTTGGAAGGGATTTGAAAGATCATCCAGCTCCAACCCTGCAAAGACACCTTCCACTAGACCAGGTTTGCTTCAAGTCCCATTCAACCTGGCCTTGAGCACTTCCAGAGAAAGACATAATTTTAAAAATAGTATTTCCCAAAGGACTACCCAGCAAGAAAGAAGATCCTTGTGTCCAAACAGGCCTACAAGCAGCTTTCTTTGGGTCTGAAGGAGGGCTGAGGTGCTTCTCATTCCCCTCGGTGGCATCCACTGCTCTCCACATGCACCAGCCTTCCCACACAAGTCTGTCTTGGATATAGGTTCATTTTCCTGCCAGCCTGCACCTGGCAAGAGTGGTTTGGATGAAACACCACCCCAGGAACAACGTGGGAAATGGAGTTGTAAGAAACGGGCCACTGACCCCCTGATGTGGCCCAGGGCACCACGGAGCAGAAGCATCTACAACATCCAGAGCACCTTCTCCTTCACTAAAGGAACAATCCAGCAGAACTTCTGGGACACACATTGCCCCATGGAGCACAGACTGAAGGAATAAACCTCAAGGTGTGTTTGAAGGGAGCTGGTGAAGTCACCCTGGCTCTGAACACAAGATGTTTTGCTCACAAATGAGCTGATGCAGGGGGAGTGAAGGAGGAAGGCTGAAAGCCTTTCCTGACAGTCTTCAAGATAACCAAGATCATTCACAAGAGAGAGGAAGCACCTGCACTGAAGCAAAACCAAAAACTAAAAACCAAAATGCACAGGGCCAAAATCCTCAGGTGGCAGCACTCAGGGAACAGGTTTCCTTCCATCCCTGTTACCTCTTGCACAGCTAAACAGAGCCAGCACAAAAACCACTCCATCCTGCCACTGGGAAGCAAATCCACTCGTCATCCAACCCCTCCAGCTTCCAAGGGAGACAAAAACAGGACAGATATTCGGAAATGAACCAACCCCTTGCACTCTGTAGGGTTCTTCCAATTAAACCTTTACTTTCAGATAAGGGAAATCCAGAAGGCCTCCCTGCTCCATTCACATTAGCTAGAAAGTGCAATTCATCCATTCCCATTCAAACCCTAGTTGGGGAGGGAGGGGGAATAAATAACTCCCATTGTGCTTGCTGAAACAGAACCAAATCCAAGTGAGTGGCTGCCAGGAAGCAGGCAGCTGGAAGCAGGGCCGTCCTGCTTTCCCGGACTCCTTTTTAGCTACGTTTAGGATTAATTGGAAATTTGCTTTTGGGTTTTGCTCTGCAATCTTGCCTCATCTTCGAGATTAACCCATCCAAGTGCTTCAGGAAGGGTGATACCAGGTGCACCCCCCAAGCCAGACAGCTCGTCTATGCTCCAGGCTGGAAGTCAAACAGCTTTTGTCCGTGGGGATGGAGCCAGGGCACACTGCCAGGGGATGAGCCGGGCACTGAGAGCCCTGCTGTCCTGCTGCAGCACTGCAGTAACACAAGCCAGTGTTGATAGAACCCAAGAGGAGTTACCCATCCCATGAACACCCACTAGCAAGTCTTCAGGACACAGGAAGGCCTCGTTTCCATCAGTGACTGGCTCTTATCTCCCAACAGCAGCCGCCCTCCCAAACACGTCATGCTCACTCACCCGCCAAGTTTCCCAAACCCCCCAAAAAACCACCCACGTGCCAAGAGCGTGACCCAAGGGAAAACCAGCCTGCTGTACCCCTCCCTGCACCCAGAGGGGACACTCCAAACCCTGCATGCCCACTGTTCCAGGAAGGACAGTTCCCCCCTTCCAAGAGACGCCGGAGCACAAACTGGCGCTCAGACGTGAACACCCACCTGGGATGAGCGAGTTGTGAATCAGCTCGTGCTGCTGAGCACCACGAGATGCTCCACCCCAGCTGCAGCCTCTTCCTCTCCCTACAGAGCCACACAGACCCTGTAAGGACACGTTTCCTGCCACAGCCACAATTATTTCTGGGCCAGTTAGAAGGCAGCAGAAGGAATTCACGCTGACAGTTGGCTCTGGGTACTACCAGTTCCGCTGATAGCAGGGCTCTGTGGCAACGTCTGATTAGAGCTCATTCTTATCTTTCCTGTGGCATGCACAGCACTGCCTTGTATTATTTGACGAACTCTGACATTTGTTATGTATTTCTCAGAAAATAAAAGGTCTGTCTTACCCAAGTCAATGAGCCAAACTCCTCCATCCTGAGGAAGACCCTTCTGTTTGCACAGCACTGGCTGCTGCTCTGCTGGGGTACAAGCTGCCAAGTTCAGGGCCCTGTTTCCTTAAACTGTTAATATCCTTGTGGAAATAGTTCAGTTTCTGGAGTTGCTAAGCAATCAGGAGCCAGAACAGCACGAGAGAAACCCGGATCTATTTTAGCATCTAACGTGACAACGCTCAGCTCTGTCTGTGCCACCACTCGCTCTGACAGCCACAGGATTTCCTTTGTGCAGAAGCACCAGCTAAGAAGAAATTCTGAAGGTTTTGATGCTATGAAGATTAATGCCTGAAGTTACTTGCCAGCCTCGTTCTCTGTGTCACAACACAGCCAAGAACTACCAGTCAATAGGACTCAAACACCCTCCAGAACATCGCTGGCTTAGTCACAAAATATTCACCATTTTACAACACCTGATCTAATAAACTCAGCCTGGAGCAGGCTCAGAGCTGAAGCCGTATCTCTGACTAATGCATTTGAAGAGATTACAGCCAGTGGAAACCTGCAGGATTTCCAGAAAGAGCACATGATTACTTTATTAATAAGTCAGATGTTTTCCAGGTGAATGCCACCCCTCGTATTATCCATGCAGAGTTACAAGCAAACCAACCATCCACACAGTTTAGGAGAGTTAAGTGGCCACATCTGAGTGCTGAGGGCCACTCTGGGAGACTTGACAGAAGTGAAACTCTCTCCCTGATGCTCTCTCTGTCTGCCCATCAGCAGAGACATCTTTTCCTCCCCGCTTCACACATTCTTTCAAGCAGCAACAGTAAGTTGCTGTCTTACTTTCTCACCCAGCACAACCAGCAAGGACCAGGAATGTCTGTGAAGGCTGGATTAAGCACCTAATGACTGCTTCTTTGACAAGGCACCTCGATGATGAGCCGAGCATTTTCACCTCACACCCTGGCACAGAGTATTTCCACGTTTCACCAGCTCTTTTTTTTTCCCCCCCCACCATGTCTGCTTTTCCTTTGCCAGACTAAAGTGCTCCTTAAAATGCTCTGGAGGAATTCAACCTATATAGATCATTGTTCACCGACCCAGTTCACTTGTGGATTAAAGAAATCAAACTAATTGATTTAGAGACGACGTAAGGGATTTTGAGAGAACGTTCAGCCCATGTCTGAGATGTCACTTTAATCCTCACAGTTAATTCTTTAAGCATAGGAAGCCATTTAAATTTGTAATGCAGTTCTTACATAAAAAAAACCATCTCCACAGGCCTGCTAATCACGGAACTATCTTGCAAATTGATCCTAATGTACAGCTGCTTGTGTCTGCATTCTTCCTGTGGAGAATATAAAATCATGCAGCCAATGGACACGTGAAAGGGTCTGCAAGGAAACAGTGATCCTCATTTTCTTCATGCACATCTGCAGCAGGGAACCACTAAACACCACTCTCCCCGCCAGCTTTTGCTCTTATATTTAAGAGTGACTTCCATTTTGGAGTTTTGTCTTTAACTGTAAAAAAGCAGAGTATTGTCAGCTCTCATTTCCAGTTTTGGAAGATTTAGAGACAATTCCCTCTGCCAGACACACCACATTTTTAACCAGAGACATCCCTTTCATCTTTCCTGCTGCTAGCAAACCTGTCAGCAAACTGCAAACTCCTAGCGTCCCAAACTGTGATAAAACTCATCACCACAATCTACAGCAACACAATTACATGAATCAGCAAGATTTGTTCATGGGATTACTTTCTGGTTGGTTGGTTTTGCAAGATCTCGGTGACCTGACCATACCTGACCTCTCCAGTGGGAGACTGAGCCTTTCCCTGTTTCCAAAATAATCATTCCTCTCCTCAGACCTCCTCCCCACCTTCTTCTTGTTCATCCTTCCAAGAAAACACCTTGCAGGACACACTCCTCTCCACAAATCTGGCCCCAACACGAGACACTTGGAAACCTTTGCATGACACAGATGCCAGGACCCTGAGAAGTGACACACTGATACTTTCAACTGTCCCCAAAGGGTCAGATGCTCAGAATTTTCCAGATTAACCTGAAAATACTCAGAAGAGAAAAAGCTTAGCTAATTCTAAAAAACCAAAGTTCTGACTAGGCTAGAAAGCATTAATAATGTGAAATACTGTGAGAAGCTGCAGTGTAAGGTCCTTGCCAGGATATTTACAGTCAGAGTTATGTACATAAAAATCCAAGGTCTGGTCATTTGGATATATTAGGGATAAGCAATGCAGGGTATGTCCAGAGTAGAGACCTTGGTGTGCTCTTGGAACAGGCAACACCACCAGTGAAATTTCCTGGTGTCCACCACCAGCAGAAACTACTTCAAATTGCTTATTACACTGCTTATTTTCACCCATCAAACTGGTGCTTGGCCTCTCATGGATCATCTTCCATTGGCTGGTCCCTATTCTGGCTTTGCAGGAGCTGGAGGAGAATGGGATGAAAGCTGAGGACTCCATGACAAGCACAGCCTACGTGCTTCTGCTGAAGGGATGGAGACAGGAATGGTTCACCTTGACCTGCAACACACCACACGTCAGAATTCCCACTATATTTAAATACATGGCTTCACTCCCAAAAGCCTTCCTGTCAAATTATCCTCTGATTTGGAAACAAGCCACAGCAGTTTAAACTCAGCTCTTCCCATTGTGCAAGTGCTTGGAAACAACAGGGATGTATCCCACCTCTGCCAGCCCCTGGAACAGGGAACAGCTGAGCCTAAGCCACTGCAAAGACAGAAATCCCAAGGATCGATTTGGAAAAAGCAATTCATGGACCAGAGAGCTGAGAAACTGTATTTCTCAAATGTAAGATTTTTTTTTTTTTTTTTTTTTTTAGTTTTTAACATGAAGACAACCACAAGTATGAGACTTCACCAGGTGGAACACGATTCCTTCAGAGCAGGGGTGTGATGACCTGGGAAAAAGGGGAGACCAGGACAGGTGCAGATCCCAAAGGGAGGATGGGAAGAACAGAGAGACAGAAATTTATAGAAGTAGCTTCTCTGAGCTCTTAAAATATCATTCAATACTTTGCTCTTCTAAACAGAAGATTTGCAAGAAAATTATACTGATATCAGACGCAGGCATGTAGTGCTTGGGCAGCTGTTGTATCTTAACCTTTTCCATTCACCTTCCTGTCCAAGAAAACTTCAAACACGGGCTGGAGACTGGGAAAAGGGAAGGTACTGCTCCTGCAGCATCCCTGGGCTGGAATCAGCATATCCAAGACCAGGGATTACTTTTCACAGATTCCCTGTGGTGCTGCCATCACTCAACAAGAAAAGAAGTCTGGCATTTCCCTCCACCATCACAACCCTCAAAGCCAAGTCACCCCAAGCTCCAGGGCTTTTATTTTTATTACAACCACATTAAAAAAAAATTAAAAATTATTTAAAAAAAAATTTAACACAAGCAAAAAATGCCACGACCCAAAAAACCTACCCTCAAAGCTGCTCTGCTACATCAGTTATATCAACATGTAAAAGCAGCTAAACTGCTCTGGATCTGTTTTCCTCCCTCAGCTCTCACTCATTCCCAGACAGCAGGTTCCAATCCACAGGTTGGGAACGCTTTCCCCTCTGTAATAACACGTGGGAGATGTTTTAGAAACCCTTTACCGTGAAACAACAAACACCAGAAATGTGTTTTTCCTCTGGAAGCAAAGTTATACAGAAACAGACTTTATCTCAGCAGGTTCCTCTGATTTTCAATTCCTGACATTTTCAAGCACATTTCCAGGGGCTCCTACTTAACGACCCAGCAACATTCTGGGGAAACTGGGGGGAGAAAAACTGCTGCAAACTGCTCCATAAATTAAACAAAAATACTCTGGTTATGGATGCCAGCAATTTTTCATACAAGAAATGGCTTGGAATGTGATATGCCAATCGAAATGAACATCTAGATATGACACGCTGCCCCACTGCATCCCACTCCTGACCCTCAGCTCTGTAGAGCTCCTTGTTCCCACTGCAGCATTCCCGGTGGCTGCATTCCACTGCCAGGGGAAAGGCTGCCTGTAAAGCAGTTTATACAGATGCTTTGTTTATCCAAAAATATTTAAGCTCCAAGAAACGTTAGAGCAAGACACAGATTTCAGCATTTGCACAGTAAAGAACTGCAACTCCTACAGATATTGCCAGAAACTTTCTTCCTTAAGGTCCTCCAGCTAGAAAGGACTATTTTGCTAAAGCAAAGCCACAGACAAAAAGCAAAGTGCACTCTCTTGCTGATGGGCTGCAAAGGGTTGTTACAGCAACGCTGAAGGAAGCAAAGGTGTCCTTTCACTCCTGCTCACTTTGTTCAGAGCAGATCATGGATTATTCAGGATGGTGCAGCAGGGATTCCCAAAACTTACGGGGTCTTCCCCGGTAAGCAGGCTCGGGAAAACTCCAGTGAAAGGGAATTTCCTGGCAGCCTGTCCCACAATTCCCCTGGCAGCAGGGAAATGCAGCCAGCAGATCCCCTGCTCTGCTGGAGTCTTGTAACAGTCACACCCACCTTAAGACACAACTGTGTCCCAAGCACTTGTTGGTTAAGACAAGAGGAATTATCCACGGCCAAATAATCACTGTTCAGCACATCCCAGTTATCCCAGGGGGGCAGAACTGGAAGACAGGAATACTAAGACTGTTATTGCTTAAAAGTGGCAAAGCAGCAGCTCGTTTTCCAGCTCATTTTGCTTCTCATTTGAAGACAGTGCTGCAGACATCATCCCTGTTTGAGGAGAGTAAATTAAACATGCTGGACCCTCTTCCTATGGCCAGGACACTGAGCCTGAGGAATTTTTTTGGAGGGGGTGGAGACAGTTATCTAGTTATCTCCCACTCTACCGGTTCTGTAGCAGTTATCAATTAGTGCATCTTCCTGTCCTGTCTCCTTATCTATCTCTGCAGGCTCAGCATGCCAGAGCTCCAGGTCCAGCTTTTCCTGGGATATGGTTTCCTTGTTATCTCCCTGCCAGGAAATTCCCAACCAGAAGCTGGTTCTGCAGCAGCCCCTCACTTCCATGAACTGCCTAATTAATCAAGGGACTTACCTCAAACTACACTGGGAAAGTAGAATTAACCAAATACAAACAGAAAAAAGCCACAGAGACCTTCACTTACTCCTGCTGCCTTCCAGGATAGAAGGTGTCTGGCGTGGTCAGAGACCTCAGACAAACAGAGCTGCAAGTAGTGAAACCCAGACAATCCAGTACACCAAGAAAACTCCAAAGAAAGTAAAGTTGGAATAAACTTTGGTGAACTCCCTGCTTACCCTCCTTGAGGTTAACTTCAGCCCTACAAGACTGTTTTTCAAGCCCAGTCTTGTGCAACACCCAAATATAAGATTACTAGGTGAGGCTCAAGAGTTTAAACAAAAGTAAGTAAACCTATCACAGGTCCCTGATGAACCCCATGAAATGATGAGAAATAATCCCATCTTGGATGTGAGAACACAGATAACTTCAGTTCTTGCTTTAAAAAGCCAAAAAGTGCATTATTGCTCAGTACTGAAGAGAAGTGGCAAGATCAAGATGGGACTTAGAAGGGATTGTTGGGGTGTCCTGTGCAAGGCCAGGAGTTGGACTGACAATCCTTGTGGCTCCCTTCAACTCGGGATATTCCAAGATTTTAAACCAAACAGACTTTATTTTCCTGTTTTTAATTACACCAGGGAGGAAGGCAGTTACACCAGGCATATTAAATGCCAAGACTCGTGGTTTTGCCTGAATGCAACCCACAAACCCACCTGCAGCACTTCCTGAGGCACAAGCTACAAAAGCAGCAAGTCACACAAGCTTTGCAAGTCTTAGACTAAGGGAAATTAAAAAAAAAAAAAAAATAAAGAAGGAAAAGGACTGTACTGCACCTTTGAAAGCACAGGAGGGGCAGAGAGGCAGCCTTGACACACAGCACCTCCAGCTTTCACAGGGCCCCAGAAACCTTGACAAATGAGATCTGTCTTTCTCCAAAGACACAAAGTGAAGCAGCACCAGAGCTGGAAAGAACTTCAAACTCAAAGCCCCAGAGATTTCAGTCCTGGCTGCCCAGTCAGTGCAAAGAGCAACAGGCAAAGCTGCCTGGTACCCTTGGATTTACATGTCAATACTAAAGCAGACAAAGACGTTGCAACACAAGTGACTTTCAGCCTTCCTGACAGACCAAACCACCACTGCCAGTGCTCTTCCAGTGGTTTAAACTGGTGACAGAACAGCTCCTGGCCACCTCAGCAGAGACCCTGCCAAATACTGCAGAAGAGGGCAGCACAGAAAATAAACCTATTCCCTTCACTTCCAGAGACTTACAAGGGGTATCCTCACCTCAGTGAAATTGTAACAACGTTTTGCCTCCTTCAAATACTTTTTTTTTTTTTTTAATTTGGGGTCTAGTTTAAGAGTAGGCCAGAGAGCAGGGGAGCATTAGCTCAGTGTCAGCTGGGTGATGACAGCCTGCACCACTCAGGGTTTCACTGACCAGCAGAAATCCTCTCAGCACAGGGCAGACACGCAGTAATGACACATGACATCACTCGTGCTATCTCGTTTCCCACTCCTCTGCACAACACAGCTTATTTTTAGATTATAACTTCTGATGCAGGAGGGAAGCAGAAGATGGGCACAGGCACAACAGCTGCCAGCTAAGTCAGAAACACCAAGGAGGAGACATTTCCACTCCATGTTTTGTTACAACAGCTACACCTTCACCTCACATTCAGCAAGATTTTTACTGGCACACGGATGTCACCTTCACACGTGGTTTCCCCACAGCCACAAGCTGCTTACAAAGAGCCTGTCACCATCCCAAAAACTGCCTCCCAAAGGGAAGGTTCAGGTTGGACATCAGGAGGAATTTCTTCATGGAAAGGATGATCAAATATTGGCAGGGGCTGCCCAGGGAGGTTTGGAGTGCCCATCCCTGGAGGTGTCCCAGGAAGGCCTGGCCGTGGCACTCAGTGCTCTGGGCTGGGGGACAAGGGGGGCATTGGGCACAGGGGGGACTCAAGGATCTCAGAAGTCTTTTCCAACCTAAATGATTCTGTGATCCTTGTGAACCAGAGCAAACACTGCTTTTTTGCCTCTTGTTTCATAGGGAAAAACAGGATTGAACGAGCTGGGTCAGGTACAGAGGAGGAATTTTGAGCAGGTGACTCCTGAGTGAGAATCTAGAAGTTAATGAAGCTCTTTTGTAAGTTCCTTCCTCCCTTCTTTCATAGTGAGGCCTTTTATTTTTTTAGCACATCAAGCACATCTCACAAACCTCTCACAGCCACTTAAAGGCAGGGTTTAGTGGAGCTGAAGTGAAGCAGCCTATCCATCAGCTATTTCCCTGAAATTTCAGCCATTACACTGGAATTGTCTTACATCTTGCTTTTTGCTAATTCTGCCGGTGCCACAGCCACCCATGGGTAGCAGGAGGAAGGCAGATGAGCTCACCAGAGCAGCACAACCAGGTAATGGCCCGGTAATTCAATCCACACCCACCCTCTGGGAGTATTGGATTCCAAGCTGGGTCTGCTCAGGAGCTTCGTGACCCGGCTGAGGTGCAGCCTGCTCCCAAATTCCACAAACCAGGCCTATTCCTTGGGTCTCCAGAGGCCAAGCAGGCAGAGGCTCTGCTCTCAGTGTGCTGGAAGTGGTTTATTCCCTGGCAGCTGTAAAACACAGCAATTCAGCAGTAAAGCCCCATCAATGCACCCCAAAGTCCCTGTTGTCACCTGCCCCACACCCCAAATTCAGCAGGACTGTTCTTCTCCTGCAACAGTGGCTTGAGCCTCCCGGGAAAAGAGATTCTCCCAGCCACTGCAACGAGAGAATAAATGAGACACTCGCACAGAAACGCATCGAGGGCAAAGATTTCAAGCTGGATTGGCACTTGACTAATTGGCTGCAAGTAAAAGTCAAGTTACAAGATGTACCTGTGCAAATCACGTGTGTTTAATTAGGAGAGAAAACAAAGTATAAAAGCGGCTAATGGGCAGCAGCTGCGCTGTATTGAACATCAGTACGTGCCTAGTGTGATGCAAATTATCTTCAAATCACAGGAAGATATTTTAAATGGGCTTAACACACCAGATGACTTGCTAAGTGCAGGGGGGAGTTGAGGGTCATCTCTGTTGGCGAGCAGCACGATGTGTCCATAAATAAACTAACTCAAAACAAGGACAGCAGAGCCCTAAGGAAGCAAAACAAAATTAAATAAACGGAAACTTCCAGCTACAAAAGTTATTTCAACTTTCAAAGGTTCCCAGAGTTCGCAGAAGAAATTGTTCCACGTACTTAAACTTTTCTACCTCTTGTCTTGGCCTAAAAGTCATCGACTTCTTGGGAAAGGAATTTAACTTGGAAAAGGAATTTTCTGGACCACACACAAGGCTACAGTAACTGCATTTTAATCTTGTTTCTTCTGGGCATTGCTGCAACAACCGTCCTATGAGGTTAAACAAACCACAAGGGATGGTCATCTCCCAGGTTTGGGGAAACGACAGTCAGTATTCATGTAGAAATTCCATGTAAAAAAAAGAGATAACCTTCCAGAGTTTGCTTTTGAGAGCGCTCTGTTGGCTGAGCCTGTGCCTTAAGGCGGAGCAAAGCCCTTCAGGAACAGCAAAGCTGGTCAGGGCAGCTGGGAGAGGCACTTTTAGGCTCCCAGCAAAGCCTCAGCTATCCCACAGCAGGCGCTCTCCCAGAAGCAACAGCTCAATACCGAGAATTGCCACCAACCCACCCAACGAACACACACTTACAGTTTAAATATATTCACATTCTGATTAACCCTGACCACACAAGAGATGCAGCAGCCCTTCCGCTGCACAAGCCAAGGCTGGGGAAGGCACACGGGCTCTTTCGGATGAAGGAGCTGCCACATCCTGGTCTTGCCATCACCATTCTTTTAAAACCCTCTGGCCCTCAAGCCACAAGTGTGACCGACTTAGTTTTGACCTGCACGAGCAGCTCATGCTCATCCATCAGCCCTCGGTCTCCCCATTCCCACTACGCTGTTTGTTTGGACAAGTTTGGCACTGGGGTCGGGATTCCAGCAGGAGCCACCTTCCCCTTTTCCTTCTCACACTTTCTGTGGCAAATTTTAACGCCGTGAGGGATTGGTCATCTCTTCCAAACACGTTTGTGAACAGGGAACACACACCACTGGTTTTTGCACTGCTTCCCTTCCTGAGAGGCCACCTCCTGTAACGCATCTGTTACTCAAGTTTTCCGTTCGCTTTTGAAACGCCTAACAGCCTCTTCCAGCTCTAACAGCTCATCAGATGATTTTTGAAACGGTCAAAAAAAAAAAAAAAAAAACCCCACTCAACTGGCAGGAAAGAGAAAAAAACTGAGCTCCACCGATGTATTTGCAAATCTGACCCGAACAAAGCAACATATGTTCTCTACAAAGTAACGGAAAATAGGGAGGAAAATTGAGCTAAACCTTCCATAAAAAAAGCAATAGTGCTGCTGGAGCTGCAGAGAAATCCCGTGCTCAGGAGCAAGGAGTCACTGTCAGCAGAAAGGACCTTCTCCAAGTGCACAAAGACCCCACTGTATCTTGTTCAAAAGGGATAACAGGAACATTAACACCAAAACAAGCAACAGTACCTAAAAACACCAGAACAGTGACAATAAACAAGCTCATCTGAAATTGGCTGTTTATGCCTATTTCTGTTGAACAGCACAACACGACAACAACGCAGAAGTCCTGCTATATACAGGATTTGGGTTTGGAGTTGCCTGCTTTCAGTTCCAAATGTAAGCAGGGAATTTAAGCCCCCAGGTCCTTAGAAATATCCCCGCTGATACAC